ATATATATATATATATATATATATATATATATATATATATATATATACACACACACACACACACACACACATTTGGCTTATTGCAATTCTTTTTTTTTTTTTTTCCCAAACGTAATTCTGTTTTTTCAAATGTGATTCTGGCCACTTCCACTTGGACCACATCCATTTAGGCCACTTCCGCTTTGGCCACTTCCGTTTTGGCTAAATGTACTTCTGTTTTTTCAAATGTAATTTCATTTTTGTAAATGTTGCATTTTTGTTGCGCTTTTTGAAATGTAATTCTGTATTTTCAAATGTTGTTCATTTACACCTCAGGGCCACCATAGTGACCCCTGAAAAACTGAATGATTCAATAATAACTATGTAGAAGATAAACAGGAAGCTGAATTTAAATGTTCTCATGATGGAGGCCCAGCAGACATCTGTTTACTGACGTATGAAAAGCTGGATGTCAAACAACAAACAAACAAAAAAAAAGAGACCTCAGTCCAGTTTGTTGAACTTTGACATATTTTACATTCAGATTATTCACAGCCTGAAACATTCAGTCACCTGTAGAACCGGTCCGATGTCAGAGTCTTCCAACTGAAATGGTTCTTCCTCTTCATCATAGTCGTCATCATCTTTGCTCCGTTTCCTGCCTGGAAACAAAAAGCTCTTTAGTATTTTATAGAATTGTACCATAACACACCTGCTGCATCATTGGACAAACTAACAACTGTTTGAAGAGAAAGCAAAGTTCTAAAATGATTGGTGCAATGTACTGTAACTCCAAATTATGTTTGTTATATGCAAGGTTAACACAAGGTTAACAGTACAATGAAATGCTTAGTGTTCTGTCCAACGCAAAAGGTTAAAAAATTGTTCATAATAGTTTAGTTATAAAAATGCCATAATTCATCTGTAATGATTCGTGTTAAGAGATAAGTCATTTATTTAACTTCTATATAGTCAGTGTTGGTTTATCTGCATTTTATTTTGAAGGTGAATTCTGAGGTTGCAATGCATTATAGGTAGCAGAAGCAGTAGTCAGTTGGAAAAACGTTTTACAAAGAAAACCTGCCTATCCATGTATAAACTTCCCCTCCTGTGTCCTAAATCTTTATTTACACCTTCAAAAGCAATGGCTGGAAGTCTAGTCTACACTGCCTGGTCAAAAAAAATGTTGCCACCAAAAAAAAGGTCACACACTAATATTTCATTGGACCGCCTTTAGCTTTGATTATGGCATGCACTCGCTGTGACGTTGTTTCGATAAATTTCTACAATGTCACAATATATATTTCATCCAGTGTTACATTAATGTTTCACCAAGATCTTGCATTGATGACTAGACACTAGTCATGATGGGCGCATCACTTCACCTGCCTCTCTTCTTACCCTGAGGCACCATCACTCTGGAACAGGGTCAGTCTGGACCAGACCACATGACCTTCTTCCACTGCTCCAGAGTCCAATCTTTATGCTCCCTAGCAAACTGAAGCTTTTTTCCAGTTAGCCTCACTGATTAGTGGTTTTCTTAAGGCTGCACAGCTGTTCAGTCCCAGTCCCTTGAGTTCCTTAACATTGTGTGTGTGGAAATGTTCTTACTGTCACTATTAAACACAGCCCTGAGTGCTGCTGGTGTTTTTCTTTGAGTTGATTTCACCAAACGTTTAAGTGATCCTTCCAGTTTTTAATAATGCTTGGACAGTTCTTAACCCAGTTTTAGTAGTTTCTACAATCTCCTTCAATGTTTTCTCTGCTTGATACCAATGATCTGACCCTTCTCAAATAGAATGACATCTTTTCCACGACCACGCCATGTGTCTTTCATCATGTTTGTTTAAGAAATGAGAATCAACTCATTGCACCAGTTGGGGTTAAATAACTTGTTGCAGCTGAAAGATAATCACCCATGCAGTAACTATCCAACAGGAGGCTTGTACCTGTTTGCTTAGTTGAATCCAGGTAGCAACCTTTTTTTGGGGGCCAGGCAGTGTATGTTCTGGTTAACATTATATGTTTTATAAGGGTTGATTTGTGATTGTTTTGGTACCAGGAATTACTAACCTTATTCCAGGAGCTTGTTTTGCTTTGAGCACTGTATATTAGCATAGCAATTTTGCTAAGGATCTAATTAGCAAATCAAAAGATTGCAAAAATGACTGTTTATCATTAATCGAGTCAGGTCAAGTCAGATTTATTTATAGAGTACATTTAAAACAGAAACTGTTACCAAAGTGCTTAAGAAAAAGATCACAGCATTAAATAAAGAGTAACAAGATATATTTACAGCACATGGAATAAAATATAAAACACAAACCATAATTAGAAACAATTAACTAAATCAGATCACACTGTGTCAAATGTCAAGGAATAATAACAAAAAAGCATAAACAGAATCAGCATCAATGAAAAACTAAATCTAAATCCGATCACTCTGTGTTAAATGTCAGTGAGTACAGATGTGTTTTTAGGAGAGCTTTAAAAGCAGACTTTTGACCGACATCACTCTCTCATTTCAGACAGAAGATCAAAAAATGCATAATTACTTTGTAAAATAGACATTTAACTTGATTTCTAATTTGAATGAGGATTAAAAAATCATTAATACTGTTTCACAGTTGATTTAAAATGAGTGGTTCACTTCAACATTTAAAAATGGTTTGAACTAAACACACTTTTGATTATCAAGATGTTGTAAAATATATATATAATATATAAATTTATATATATATTTATAATATATATAAATTTAGATTTTTCTACCTGGATTATTGAGCATGCATCAGGATATGTTGTAAAATAGTAATGACAATATAAAAAAGAGAGTGTTCTTTCAATTGATTAGTTCAGGATACAATTAGAAAGTCTCTGGATGAGCTAATTTGTATTTCTGGGTTCAAATCAATAAAATAACAGTTCCTGTCCCATGAAGGTCTTCAGAGACAGGTTTTGATTGGAGGCCTAGTTCACTACAGTCCCCCCTTTGGAAATCATCGCCTGTCCATGGGGATGAATTCCAACATGAACTTACGCCTCCGAATATCCTTGAGCTTGATGTAATCCAGCAAGAGGAACACAAAAGTCTAAGAAGGTAATCCCACAACGGTTTAGGTAATTCCACAATGTTGTTGGTAATTCCATAATGTTGTTGGTAATTCCATTGTAGCAATGCTTTAACCCCTTGGAAACAAAGTCTGTAATCCATTGGAAAAAGTCATATAATCCACAACGATAAATCCACAACGATTAGAGGTGTTGATTGATCACCATGAAGAGGGGTTCCCTCGATTGAAATGCAGAGGCGACCACTGGATGGAGTATGGAGACCCACGTTGGAGTTGTAGGTCCCTTCAGCGAAGGTTGCTGCTGGTGGTTCCCAGTGGGTGCCATTCTGGTTCTATGTGTTATGCATTTACGTGGTTTTAGTTGGGCTTATGAGTGGGATTTTACATAAGACCTTAACCTATATGCACCTGGTGTGTAAGCTATCATGGTTTAGATCAGCTAAAGTTACCAGTTTAAAGGGTGGGTCATGCTGAAAAAATTTCATATAGGGATTTATACCTATAGAAGGGCATTCCAAACTATTTTTCCATTCCTAACTTGGTTTAAGTTGGACTTACATGGCAAAATATAGTTTGGTTCAATTGTCTGTTGTCCTTTTAGACGAACGACTTGAGGTTTGGGTTTTTTGGTTTTCCCCTAAATGTTTTTGGAGTCTATGGCGAGACTCAACTGAAGGATTAGCTACCCCCCCCAAATAGGATTGTTCGAGTAGGTTCGGCTTAAGCGTTGTGAGACCAATGTAGATTATGGTACTTGAGGTAGCATTAATCTACATCGACTCCACAAAGATTGCATTTTAACAAATGAACTGCATGTTGGCATAGTTAAAGTTAAAGTCTCTAACTAAAATACACACAAAATTCATTCTTGCTTGGGATGTTCAGAAACAATACCAAAAACCAATTAAACGATGTCTCAACATCGACAAAAATAGTGACTAAGCAACCAGAAAAACAACGTTTCAACATTGACAAAAGTAGTGATTAAGCAACTAGAAAACGACGTTTCGGTGTGTCACTCACTCTGAATGTCAGATTTGATCACGTTATCGCGTCTGGTAACATTACCCTAAGTAACGTCACCCCACTTTGGTCATGGGGGACCACGAACTGTACAACCCGTGCTGACTGACCCAGACATCATCCAACTTCAGAAGTTGGATCCTGCAATAAACTCGATGATGCTGCTGTATTTGACTGACCCAGGGAAAAACACTCCGTCCGAAGCAGACCTGGAATCCAATCCAGGCCTTAAAGTCCTCTTTCAGCTGCGCAATCAGCTAAAACTACTCAAGGGCATCCTAGCTTTAGCTCATGGAGCGACGTCCTCACCCGTAGACATCTTCTGTCCCTCATTTCAAGAATGACTGATAAACTAAATTAACATAAACTGTTGTTTATTCAAAGCATGCAACAAAAATACAGAAATAAGGCACCAAAAGTGAAAAATAAATAAATCTAGAGCAGCATAGTCCTATTGGCAGAGTGGTTCTGATGACAGTGAAGTTCTCTTAGCAACATGATCCAGTTTGCACCAAGATACTGTTAGCGGCGTGGGGTTGTTAGCAGCATTAGCAGGTCTTGTTAGCAGGTCCCTTCAGCAGCATGATGATAACAAGGACCACAGCTGCTGCCCTTCCAGACAGCCCTCCAGAACCGGGTCTGGCAGACGGAGAACATTCAGGGTCCCCCAGCGGAACCGAACAGATCTATAGAGTTCGGTCCATGCAAGCAGATGGAGGATAGTGGAGACAGCCGCCATGACAGGCCTGAGCCAGAGGCTGTAAGGACAGAACCACGAATGCAGGATGGCAACGCAGCAACACAGAAAACTCCACAAGTGTGTCGTGGTCATACCCGTACTGTGGATGTGCATTGTAGGCGCAAAAAAAGGTTAAAACAAAAACAATAGGAACAAAAAAAAGATCGAGTTCACCGGGAGCCTGTGAAGCTGCGACTCGGCTGAGCGCGGCCATCTTGGATGATAGTGAGTACAGGAGTGGACTGAGGATACAACCCAGAGGTGTACCGGTGCTCAGGACTAGTGTGGAGATGTGACTGCCAATTCTCACTGCCTGTGGTCTGTTGGTGAGGAAGTCCAGCATCCAGCAGCCGATGGACTTCTCCAGGGCCAATGTGGTGAGCTTGGAGACCAGCTTGGAGGATTATGGTGTTGAATGCTGAGCTGTTGTCAACACCCTGATGCCTCAATCTGCCCTGAATAACAGCTGTATGACACCCTGAGTTAGCAGTTTAATAGCTGTATGACACCCCGACGCCTCAATTCGCCCTGAATAACAGCTGTATGACACCCTGACGCCTCAATCTGCCCAGAATAACAACTGTATGACACCCTGAGTTAGCAGTTTAACAGCTGTATGACACCCCGACGCCTCAATCTGCCCAGAATAACAGCTGTATGACACCCTGAGTTAGCAGTGAACCTGTCAGATCATCATACTTTCTTAACAGCTGTATGACACCCCAACGCCTCAGTTCGCTTTAACTTAGCAGTTTAACAGCTGTATGACACCCTGAGTTAACAATTAAGGCAGCAGACAGATTATATTGTCCTTATATTGTTTAAATTAAATTCACAAAGCTCTGACTAACTTCACTTGCACTGTTCGCACATAAACAAACTGAGTTTTCGCTCCCCCTGAAGTCGCGCACATATTACACGCAAAGCGTCACCAAAAGGATTTACTTATGGTTCAGGAAATGCAATGCACACTGTAAGTTGTGTAAATACACAATAATACCATGTGTACTTTGCACCAAAACAATTTACGGACTTGCCTTTTGTTGTATCTTGCAGTGTAGGATGATCAGACGGCTCCTCTGAACGTCACATGCTTATTGCAAAATGTGCATGCACGCATGCGTATTAACTAAATGTATGATACCATCACATGTATGCTGAATGGACAGAACACCGGCAAAAAAATAAAATAAAACCCTGATATAATTAGCGTGTAGCTTCTCATCACAATAGATATCGGGATATGAATTTTATGCCATATTGCACATCATGACTCTGTATCTAACAACACCAGCAGATGTCCACAGTAGTGAAACATATGATCGTCAGCACTAAGTAAACAGACCTGTATTAACGTGTAATGTGAATCATGTCAGGTTAATCAGTCAGTCCCTGTCTGAAGACCCTCTAAATCCATGGGTGTCCTTGGAGAAGGATGGGGCAGTAATGTGTGGCCACTGCACTTTAAAGCAAGTATGTCATGACACAAACATTCAAAACTTGAAAATTACAGATAAAACCAAAGGATAATGATGTTTAGAGGAGATTATAACAATTAATTTTTTCTTGTTTGTCAGATGGGGATGTGAAAACAGCCAGCCAGACATATGAAGCCATCACTGGACCGCAGCATCAGGATCTGAGAGTTTGTGCCTCCAGACTACACATCAACTGAAGTGGACCGTACCTTGGAGCTTCCCCGGACGCTCTGCTCTCCTGCACCTGCTGTGGCAACGGTGTTTGGAAAATAAAATGCCCACATTGTGCCAAAGATGCTGGAGTCCTCGGTGCCTCAGTTAAGAAACATTTCTGCATTGACAACACAAACGGGTCCTATGAACTCAGCAGAGGTCACACAGGTGCACCAGGTACAAGCTCGGGTGTTTGTGACAGAGCAGGAGTACTGTGACTTCATGGTGTGGTCTGGGTCAGATTACTTTATTCAGAGGATTGTGTCTGATGTGATTCTTTACTGAAGCAGTGAAAAATGTAGAAATGTTCTATAGGTCAGCATTTTTACCTGAGCTATTTGCCATATTTTATTTTTAATTATCGTTACATGTTTTGGAGCAGACAAACTAACAAAGGATTAAAGCACATGATTCAGATTACACTGATGATATTTTAAGATTATATTTCATACATAACTGCAGATGTAGCAATATGTTTTTCTGTTTCTACAAATAACACCAGTCTTTAATTTTTTTAACT